CTGAACGGATCAGTCTTAGATGCACAACCAGGGGCTTCTTAGAAGCAAGGATGCCAACACTCTGGCGTGCTCACTTTGGACGTGTCATTAGGGAAGACCCACGCTACCCAAGGACACCCTGACTGGTAAAGTGGGGGTCAGCAAAGCAAGGCAGGCCACATAGTGCCCCCACAATGACGGGTGCACACTAATGGTCGTGAAGGCGGATTGGGGCTGGACGTTTCCTCCTGTTGTCCCTAAGGCCATTATGAGTCAGAGCTGACTTAACAGCAGCCACCAGTCGCTACAACAGCAGGAAGTCTGCTTTGAACCTGACTGGTAACTGGAAGCTTGGCCCTTTGAGAAGGGCAGGCCCCTGGCATGGGGTGGCAGGACCCAGGCCTCAGGGGGCTACGGTCCACGGATGATAAGAAGGTCACAGAAGAGGTCGGCCCACAGCCTTAGCCGTCTGACAAAAATCTGCCTCTTAGACAAGTCACGTCTCCATAACTCAGTTTACGTATCTGTAAGATGGGTCCGTCTCTCTCGGTTGCTATGAAGTTGGAGAGGAGTCAGCCGTCAGTCCCACATTAAAGGGCTTGTCATATCATCACCAGCCTGGTCAGCAGGCAAGTGCTGGAGTCCCGATGTGCATGGGGGGCTGTTCCCACAGGGCAGACTGGGCACAGCCGAGCAGTGGCCCTTGACCTGGGGAGTGGGATCAGAGGGTGGGTGGCTTTCCAGGCTGAGTGTGGCTCTAGGGGGTTCTGGAAGAGGCTGGGCGTTCCTGGGTGGTACAAATAGCTAAGCATTTGGTTGCTAACTGGAAGGTTCGCGGTTTGAGTCCATCCAGAGGAGCCTGGGAAGACAGGCCTGGCAACTGGCTTCAGGAACCCGCCACTGAGAGCCCTGTGGGGCAGTTCTACCCTGACACACGGGGTCGTCGTGCGTCAGAACTGACGTGATGGTAGCTGGTGGCAGAGGCTGGGGGCACAGAGGTGAAGCAGTGGGTGCCAGGTGGGGGTGGCAGCAGATGATGGGGGCCTGGGGACCCGTCCACCTCAATGCTGTGAGCCGTGGCCAGCGTCACTGAGCAGAACTCAGGGGTCTTTGAAAGGACTTGAGGTTCTTTCAGGGCTGTGGCACCTATGGCAGCAGCGGGCCCTGGTGAGTTGGTCAGAGAGCTGGGTGGCTGTCGGTGCGACGTAGGAGGAAGGCCGGAGAGCAGGTGGGTGAGCCTTCCAGGCCCAGGCCTCCCGGCCACCAGAGACACAAAACAGCTGCTCTCAGCTGACACCGGGCTCCCAAGGTGCTGGAGCCAGGCCCGTGGACGCAGAGGCTCCGTGGGCATCCCCTGCCCACAGTCCGTCAGGGTGTCC